TACTGCTACTGCTACTGCTACTCGTATATAGTGGTACTGGTACTGGTACTTGTACGGGTACCCGTTGGTTGTGGTGCTGGTGCGTAGCTTTCATCCGAAGATGTTTAGGCACCCGTACCCGGCACACTCGACGCCGCTCTGTCCTCTGTTTGCCCCGAGGCTCGAGCACGACGTCTTGGTCGTGACTGGATTCGCCCAAGAGGGCCTCTCGAAGCGCTCCAGGCTCGCGCAAAAGAGAGCCCGGGATGGGGTCGGGGATTCATCTTTGGGTTTCGGGGATGTTGACGTGCAGAGTTCAACAGATCTGACCTGTAGCCCGAAAGCTGGACAGTCGTCATTCTGCGACTTTGGGCATTCGCAACCTTGAGCGGGCCCCTGCTTTTGCTTACAGGCTTCAGCAGAGGGGTTGGTTCAAGGTTCGAGGTCCTCCCCCGAATCCAGCCCTAAATCCGCGTGCTTGCAGGAACGTCTCACAAGCAGCGACGTCCATCGGCGTTGGCAGCTTGACTGCGCTTGCAGCTTGCCATTGCTGCGCCTTGAGATCAGGTTACGTGGTTCCGCAACTTGAGACCCTCGAAATTGACCGTCTTTGCTCAGGGTTTTGGCACGGGATGCCATCATGAAGGGCGATGGAGGGCTGTTTAAGGCGAGTGTCTCCAAAAGAAGCAAGCAACCGAATCGCTTTTCATCGTCCATGGTAGCACAAGCCCAGTCTGCAATAGGCTTGCTCTGTAATGATGTAGGTCAATGTAGGTGTTCGCTCTCAGTGCCGCTGCTTCACCCCCGACGGTTAATCCTGATTTGTAGTGCGCATATCATCTTCCTCATTCGGAATCATGATCACACGTGATTCTTTCTTCTGAGAGCGCTATGCTTGGTGTTGTTAGTTTGTTAGTGTCAACACAAGCATCGGCCTAGATTGGCAAAGGGAATTCTCGCCATGTTCGCTGTTGTGCAGACCAGACAGCGATGGATAGTACAATTACTACAGTAGCAGTGGTAAGCAGATGTGAACGGGCATGCATTTAAGTCCGGAAGTCGCGAGTGGAGGGACCAGCCTCTGTCCCGGGATTGTAGGTATCATTCTTTCCGTGAGTCGGAGTGCTGCTGCTGTTGTCATTCCGTCTACTGCGATGTGATGCTTTGGGTTGTCATGCTAGAGGTTCCTGGCACGAACGCGGATGCTTCTCACATTCGTTCTAGCTCGAGTCGTACAACCGAGCACTTGTTGCTCAGGAAGCCATCCGCCAGAACAAGCAAGCAGGTGCGAATCCTCCTGCATAGCCCCAAGCGAGGCACATGAGACACATACATGCCGATACCAGTAGCCAGGATTTTCTCGGGTGCTGGACTGCTGCAGCTTCGGATCTCTTGGTATCGAGAGCAGACGACATGACCACAGTACTGCCCGCTCAAACATTTGGCAGAGAACAGGCGGAATCTCACGCTCAGGGACAGGATTACTAGTGTGCTCCTCAGCAACAAGAAAATTTGCAACCCAGAAGACGATTGTAGTTTTGAGACGTCAGTCCTGACCATGACCGTCGCGACTATCGGCTTGGCTGTTTCGGCACGGGGCTATGCAAAGCCGACAGAGAGCCTCCCTGCTGTGTCACTTCTGTGATGTTTTGCACTGGCGTTTTGCCGATCGAGCTTGGAACTGCAAACGGCGGCCCGGCGAGAAAACCCCAATCTGAATTTTCGGCCCTCATTTCCAATCCAATTGGCGGACCTCGCATGCCGCACGTTGCAACTCCAAGAGAGACAGCTCTGACGTGCAGGACTGCGCTGCATACGGAGCCTGCGCTTCACAGCAAGGTGGGTGCTGTGCAAGTGTCTGGAGGTTGCATGCTGGATTAGTCGGGAAGACTTAAGAAGCTGGGTGCTTCGACACTGGTGGCAGGTTTCAAGATTGTGTGCCACATCCCAGATTTCCTGCCGATCCTCCGTTTATTCTCTTTTTATCTCTGTTTGAAGCCTGACCCGAGACATCTCCCCCCCAACCAACACACACACACACTGTCTCTGTCTGGTTTGTTGGCTACTAGGTGGTCAACGGGAATCAAGACTTGCTAGATAGTGTACCTGAGGGAACGGGTCATAGCGCCATCCTATGGGATCGGAGGTGCTTCCTTCCATTTTGCAGGATGGGTCCACTACGTGCGGCCTGGACAAGTCAGGCTACAGTGAGAGCCTTGGATGTCTTTGGACGTGGGTTCAGAGATCAAGGACGTTGCGGGCCCTTGTCATAGTTGCAAAACCCAGCTTTAGAAAGACCCTAGGCGTGGTTGAACTCCCGCAGAGCCATAAGCCTCGCAAACGCGACGCAGGCAGTGGTTGCAAGACTGCCGGATGCACTTGCTCTGTCTTCCAGCCTGCTGCCCAAGAGCTTGCTTCGGCTATTGGCTTGGCGGCTGTATCAGGAAGCTTTGAGACGTGCTTATTGGTTCGACATGATCTTTATGGAGCATGTTATTGCATTTCGTGAGGTTTCGGATTGTTTAGGACAGGAACTCCAAAGTCTCCAAAGCAGGCATGTGCAGAGCTCTCCGTAACTCCCCGCTCAAGTCCGGGTTGTGACCGACAGTGAGCTTGATGACCTTAGCCCACGGTAGCTCCCGTCCCAGGCACTGCTACCCGAAGTTTGAAAAGGAGGCGCCGATGCATAAGTCGCACCATGTTTCGAAAGGTAAGGGGTACTGCAGAAGTTGGTTCCAGCAGGAGGCGTTCCCGGAATCGTTGTGCTGGTCTGCAAAGTCCTTCAGGTCTTGACCTGAAAGACCCCGCTAATGGCATCGGCATGCTTCTGAGGCGTTTCGGTATGATCAGAGACGGGACATCGGGCAGAACTCCTTTCCAGCTACATCGGTGAGTTTCGGGTTCGGAATTTTGGCGTTGGGCTCCTCTAAAACCTTCAAGCCGTAGCTCCAAACCTTGGCCTGCCCACCTGAACCCAGAGTCTATGTCCAGGAGGGGAAGGATCACAACGTGGGTGTTTGTGGCCTGGCGGCGCGAGACCCAGGATCCTCGTGGCAATTTGGGTCTCTCCCCGCGTTCTATGTCTGTGTTTAGTGTCGGTCGAGTGCTTGACGACCACGACGGCGCCGGCGACGATGGCCCAAAAGACTGTAACGAGAATCTCCTGCAGCTGCTGCTGCCGGGTGGTGATGCTGCTCTCATGCAGATAGTTGTATCTGTACTGCGGGTCATCTCATGCTTGTCAGAATCTGCGGACAATTCACGGAAACTTCGATAATCTGCCCCGAGCCCCCGCGCCAAGATGTGGCTCATGTCCCTCCTTTCCGCCGTGCTGTTTGGTGCCGTAGCCCGGTGCCCTGGGAAAGGGTGCTTGAGGGGTGTGTTTCGGCTCCCTTGAGCGGTTTGGGATCTCTTTCCGTAGGGTTTGGGTGACAAGTTCAGGCATTCGGGGCTGTTGGTTCAGACTTCTGGTCTTAAGAGCTTTGGGCTCGCAGTGCAGGAAGGCGGACACGTCCTTTCAAATTTCGGGCCGTGGATGGCTGAACCTCAAGAATCATGCTGACAGCTTGCCTGAAGAGTAAATCTTAAGTTCAGCCTATGGTTTGTAGCCTGTTGGCAAGCACATTTCCCCAGTGCTCTCATCCGTGAATCATGCAGATGTGCGAGTCAGATCTATAATGTCTGTTCAGCAGTAGCCAAGTCCGTCCAAACTTGCTGCTTCTCAGAGAGCGACATGCAACGAAGCATCGCCAACATAAGGTCCTCGCGCTGATGGCGCGGGGCCCAAAAGCTTAGGGCTTGAACCTTCGAGCTGTGGAAACTTCGCACTTCAGTGAAAGTTTAGGAAGCTCAAGAGCCCTTTTACTTGGTTCCGCTTGCAGTCGCCTCATCTGGCTGAAAGGTGTAGCTGTGTGGCCCCTTCGACATAGAATAAAGCGTAGACTCTGGCAGCTGTCTCGTCAGTTTTTGTTTTATGTGTGTGTGTGTGTGTGAAACCTTGCAGTAGTTGAAGTCTCGAAGGTACATGGAGTAGTTTTGCCTTTGGCATTCGAATGGATGCTTTCACGTTTGAGATCCGAGGTATGAGGGTGATCTTTGAGGTATGGAGATCCCCTTCTAGATTCTGATCGCCAAAAGTGAATGCCTGAAAGTCCGCACCATTGAGCATCAAAGCTTGATTTCTCTCTCATGCACCCAAGAGTCCGATCCCCGAAAGATCTACATTCCTTAGAGTCCACAAAACTCACAGTCAGGTGACCAGGTCTTGCCTACAGTACGAAGACAAGACGAGGACTGTGGGGAGCATGACGGGGTATGCCCTTTGGCTTCAGTGAGGGGCGCTGAGGTTTCGGCTTCCTCGGTTTTTTGTCCCATCTGCAGCCCTTGCTTGTACTTGGATGTACTTGTATGTGAGAGTCACGAGCTGCTCAGATGTAGCTCTGCTGCATGGGCCCCAAAAAGCTGCAGCAGGAAGACCCTGCTGCTGCATTGTTTTCTGGGATTTCGGAGGACCTCGAAGCCCGAAGTACCATCACAAGCGTCTTAACATTGGCCGAGTGCTCCATGCAGAAGTGTCCAAATCGGGAACATTGCACCCTGAACCCGAAACCTTCAACTCTGAGCGTTACTGAGCCTCAAAGCTGCATAACCCCAACCTGAACGACAAATCCCTCAGCCCTTTTCTCCGAAGCCGAAAGACAGGGAGCTGGCGAGGGAGAGCTCGACCATACGTGCCAGAGCCGGGTTCCGAGACCCCTCTGCATGGTGGGAGTAGTAGCATCTGCGAGGGATATCAGGCGAGATCCTCCCTGGCCTGTTGCATGGCATGCTTCTCCAGTACGAGTTGCCGATGCCAAGCCGGGACTAGAGTAGCATTGGCTATTCAAACCCACACTGCCGCCGACAAAAATTTAAATTCGAACTCCACGTGGGCGATGGGCTGCAGGGTGGCGATGGTCCCCACCCGTACCCATCACTCGTATTGATTGAAAATTTGAAGGGTTTCACCACCCCGAAAATCTCAATGTCTCCGCAGGTCACAGGCATGAGGTTTCATGCGTTGCTTTGAAGGGTTGTGGGCCTGCAGCAGGTGCGTACTCGGGTTCGTTCTCGTCAGGCTGCCAGGTTCATCGAAACCCCACTGGGCTCCGGTCCCTGGGTGGATCGCTCGAGGGCCGGACCTGTTCGGTGTATGCCAGGCAAGCACGTCTGCGACTCCAGTGTCGCTCTGCAGGTCACGATGTGCTTGGCCTTAAACCCCGAGACCTCCAGAGATGGCCGAGACCTCCAGAGATGGCCCTCCTAAACCGGACACCAAGGCAGCTCTCGAGAATCTAGAAGCGGGAGCTTTGGGTGAGACATTTGCAAATCGGGCTTGGAGCTGTGCGAGGGATGTAAATTACAGTTGCTCAGACGGCTGTAGTTGCACGTGCTTAGGGACACCATTTGTTGAAGTGGGAAGAGCCTGACCGCTTGCGCAATCTACAGGAAGCCGAGCCTCTCCGATGTGCAGTCCTCTGACATCTTCCATTTCTCTCACCCTTGCAGTTTGAAGGAAAGTTTTAGTTGCATGTCTTGATACTAGTTACTAGTAGCAAGGCTGCCAACAGTACGAGTCTGGGAACATTCCTCACTCCTGAGTCTCAAACCGAACTGCATCAGCTTGCTTTCTGTTTAGGGTTCTGCGGGGAAAATTGTGAGAAACTCAGGTGCGTCGTTCTGCTGCTGCTCGAGGGTCACAGGGCAACATGCAGCCATGGCCCCAGCCAGATCAGAAAGACATTTAGGGGTTGAGACTCCGTGTAGTCTGAGAGTGCAGTAATTACCGCTGTAGCTTACCTTGCGTATCCGTACCCAGATCCTTTGCTGTGTAACAATGCGTATGACTTATGGGCTATCTGAAATCCCAGGGTCCGCGCAAGAGACCCGTGCAGGCTTGAGGGATGAAGCATGAAAGGCCTTAGTTTTCAGTTGAGGTGTCATCTTCGGGGTCTCGGGTTTGGTGGATTGCGGGCTTTCTTTGGGGGTTGTCTAGAAAGGAGCCCTGATGCATAGCTTTTTCCGACTGGACCGGTACCATACTCTCGGAATCCTTCTTGGAAGCATCGGCCCAAACTCCCGACTTCCCCGCCCGAAGCCTTCATGTCGATGTCGTCATATTGTAAAGAGTAGAGCGTTGTTGTTCTTGAGGCAGGCGCCTGATGGCTGACGAGGCTCGCCGTCTGGATGGGAAGTGGCTCGGAACGGGAAACCAACCTAGAAATCGTTCTGACACCCAACATGGAAGCCAAGATTCACAGGAAGTACCGCTTTGCTTTATCTTTGACCTGCTGGTCAGGGGCATTTTGCACCGAATGTTGATTTTGTAAGGAGACCCAAGCTAGCTCCGCACAAAACTTGCCTCCTAAGTCACGTCGAAAGTTCGTTTCAAGACGCTTGGAAGTGGAAGTAACGGGCCCAAGTGTTTTGTTAAAGCATTGAGGTTCCGTGAGAGCAGCTCTGGCAGAAACAGCGTATAGGAGAAGCTTTTGGAATAACTTCACCTCCCCGGAGAAACATGCTAAAACTTGCTTAGAAACGTACGTGTCCAGGTGTCGTTCTATTCCAGAATTTTAGAATCCCAGCGTAAGCCTCCCCAAGATGCAGCAGAGGCTCACGGCTTCTCCCTTGTCGGAGAGGGCTCAATGGAGGGAGCCCAGAGCTGCAGCCCAACTTGGAGTCAAAAAGCGTCGGCATGTGCCTTCAGCTTTATAGCCGATGGTAGAAGGCCTTGCTCCTTCGAGAGGCGAGGCAACAAGTAGGGCGCCAGCGGGTAATCGGTCAATCCTTCCATAGACGTGCTTGCAAAATCAGTTGTGCTGCAGCTTTGACAGCAGCCGTGGCCATGGACACACGAACCAAACTCGGAACATTCATCATTTATCCTGAAAGCCAGGAGTTGCTCCCACGCCAACTCCTGATTTAACATGCCCATCCCAATGCATCTCAGACGGAATTCCTGGCTCAGCCGCCCCCCCCCCCCTTCCTCCCCTTAGAAAGCTCCTATTCCCCTTGCCATGGCGGCCACGAGCAGCTCGAGGCCGGCCTCGAGCCGAAAGCCGCTTCCTTTTGCACCTCCTGTTTTTGTTCTTCAAGATCCTCTCGAGGCCGCAAGGGGCCGATGTGTCCATCACCGACACGCTGAAGGCCTCCGAAGCTAAGGCTTCGCCTAAGGCTAAGGCTTCAGCCCGGTCTCCTGCCGGATGCCAACCTCCATGACAGAGGGTTTTCGATGCTCTGAATCGCACCCTGAACTCTGACTCCCACACCTAAAAACTTCAAAGCTTAAACTCCGGTCCCAGGGTTACTACGCCACACCGCGCCTGCACAGCGGCCGTCGAATGGGAGTTGTGCTGGTCAGGCCCTGAGGTTCGCGAAGATTCAGAGATGAACGTCAGGAAAACCTCATGTCATTTCTGAATATTTCGAAGCATGTTTTTTTTTTCTCTTTTTTCCGGGTTTCGTTTGGAGTTGACGTGAGCGTGTTTGATCTTCGAGGCGCTGAGCGCAGAACTCTGATGCCCCAAGCCCCAGCTGCCCAGGACCCGAAAGACCCTCCACGACCAGAAAAGTCCAAGACCCTGGGAAAGTCCCTGTAAAACGTGATACTTCGTGGCCCAAAGGTTGCCGGATCGGAGGCGATAGAGGTCCGGTTCCTTTGCTGCAGGTTCAGGGTTTAGGGTTAGGTAGGGTTCCGGATCATTGCATTGCCATCCAGTATTAAATAGCTTCTCAACCTTCATAGTCTCCCTTAGAGGAACCCTACTAGTGACCCTTCATAGCAGCCTCTAAAGTACTTCTACAGCTTTCTTGTAGGGGTAAGGTGGGGAGGGAACCACGGCTTTCCCCATCCGTTTTGTTGCGCAGGGTACCTGGGACCCTACACTCCAAAAAACCCGAAAGCTACATCTTTGTTCGTAGGACCGCGGACCAGCAAGTCGAGAAACTCCCATAAAGCCACTGAGGCCATGTGCGACTGTTTGAGTCTCAAGGTTGCAACACTTGTTTGCACAACTTAGAGAAAGCTTTCTACCGAAAAGATCGCATCAGCGGCTTGATTGAGGTGTGCTCGTTGTTGCAGCCTTTAGCCGAGCCCCAAGGCAAAGCCTCAGCCTCGAGCCCACATCGCATAGGGACTCTCTGGGCGTGACCCGACTAAGTAGCTCCTCAGAGATGAAGAGGTCGTGACCAAGCCTAACAAAGGCACGCCGCAGAGCACCTGGCTTCCTGCGGCTTTTCCGGCATTGTGCCAGCCTTCACTGCCGGGCAGGCTCAGCGGGCTCATGGGGCCTCGGGTTGGAAGGGTGTGGGACTCGTCTCTACAGTTTTGGGGGCTTGGGTTCAAGATTTCTGCCTGTTAAGCAGCACCGTTTTCGGAGGGGTACAAACGTGAACTTTGTGCAGTCGGTACTGATATGAGATGATAATGATAATGGTGACAATGATGAGACCATGGTGCTGTCATGTTTCATATTCCGGACCAAATCAATTCTCGCATTGGATTGGCGGAGGAGCGAAGGTTTGGGCCTGACCTGGGTGCTTGCGGCCCTCGAGTTTCTCCGTCGGCATCCTGCCGCGGACTGGAGACCCAAATGCTCTCATCCATCTCCACAAAAAAGCTTTTGAATTCATGAAGCTTCTAGACAGTCCTTCAAGAGCACGCTGATTCTATGGAGGAGCAGAGAACAAATCATCAACCCTCAAGTCTCGGCCCCGAGCGCCCGACCCGAAATCCCGCACCTTCGCATCGTGCAGATCGATTCGGGGGCTTCCACCGGCAGCTCCGAAAAGGACTTGGCGTCATCGGGAAGACTTTGTGCAGGGACTATCGGATAATCCTACCAGGCCACCAAAGATAGCATGGGACAGAGTGCTCTAGGGATTGTGGCTTCAAGAGCTGGTGGAGAACCCGGAATCATCCACTGCCCATCCGAAGTCCTCAAGCATAGCGCCTTGGACGAACTACCAGATATGTTGCGTGTTAAACTGTACGTGGAGTCATGATCATGAACAGATTTGCCCTGATAGTGGCGATTCTCGATGCCTGCGAGACTGTGGAGTTGCAAATTGTTGAATCCTGTTGCTCTTGCAGGCTCAGCGGGTTTTCTCACCTTGCCATGTAGACCGTTGCAGAAGCCTGTACACCGAACTCGAAGCCCTGCAGGCCCAAAAACCATACAACCCCGGAAGCCAACAGCCTCAAGCTCGGCTCTATGCCACAGCCCAGACCTAACCGAGCTGTAGCAGCCCCAAATTCTAAGCTTCCAGCCCGAAGGGGGACTCGGGTGGTGTCAACATTCCCGAACAAGTCTGGCTGTCGATCTCGCGACAGCAACACGGAGACCGTTTGGATCAGACATGACGGGAGTCTCACCGCGCCAGGTATCTTACCTAGCCCCACTGTAGCCTTCTTCGAGTTCGGGACGTTGAAGCAAAGGCCCAAAGCACGGCCATGGCGGACGACCTCGAGTACCAACGCGCCAGCTCCGATTCGGAGTCTCGGGACTGCCGTGCAGAGGTCGGCTATGCCGGAATCCAACGGATGCTGCTGCTGTGTGGGCGACGTGGCCGGTTTAGGAGGATTTCGGGATCCACTTGTAAATTTTTGGGGCCTATCGATTCTTTTCCTTTCTAGCTTTTCCAGGGTGTGGCAGCGGCGGATTTGTAATATTGACCGATGCCAGTATCAAGTCATGGGTATTTGTGTTTGTTAGCGGCATTATAGCTTGTGTTGTTAACATCCGCGTTCTAAGGCGTGAAGTTTTTGCTTCTAAGTGTGATTTGCATACAAACCGATTTCACGTCGTGACTGTGCTGACAGCTGAAATTCTGAAAGCCCGCGCCACGTCACAAGATCGGTAATACTATGTGATTAGTAGGTGGAGTGTAAAGAGTTTTGAGGTTTCGGTCAGTTTGACCGCAAAGCAACTGTTGTGTGCGGCTTTTGTGCCGCGGCAGTTCCGCAGCTCCCGCTGTGGTGCAGTGCACATTTTGACGAACATCTCGTTTTGCACGGTTCCGAGCTCATTGCGCAATTCAATACCTTAGCGTTCACGGACTTTATGAATCGCAGTGCTTTTTGTTGTTTTGTGGATAGTCGCGCTCCTGATTCAAACAAACGCTCCAAGTTTCGCAGCCCTAGCAGCATCGCGCTCCTCCGTGTGATCTCGAGCTTGCACTGGGAGTCGTCTTACCGTCACAGTGTCACCCGCCGTCTGCATGCAAAATTTGCTCCCGCCGCAGTCTCATAAGTTTTGGTGCACATTTTGGACTGAGGCTCAGGGGTGCAGGTTTTCGATCCACAAATCCCTCAAGCTTACTGCAAACTCGAAGACCTGTAAGACAGCACACTAGAGCCTGGAAGCCCTGTGTATCAAAGCGCACGGGAAGCGAAGCCATGCAGGCTCGGCAGTGTCCTCACGCTCTTGGCCGTGCAATCTGGGCCAGCGGAGGCAGCCGCCCAGGACAGGGCGGCTCGGGTTTAAGGTTTAAGGGCTTAGGATTGAAGTTTTTCGGGTTTTGGGGTTTGCGTTCGGGGTTTCGGTTTTGGGATTGGGAGTTGCTAAAGACAGTTTGTGGTCTTGTGAGGTTCCACAAGGTTTAGTTGGCATCCGATGGCTTCGGAGAGTGTCGTAAGGTGTTGTAGTGTTGACGGCATTGCAAGCTTTTTTCGTCTCGATGATCGGGACTCCGAAATGAATTCACTGCTTTCACGCTACTCATAGAGGTATAGATAATTAATTCAGGGCTTGAGGTTGGAGTTTGGTTCTGAGGTCTGTGGCCTGGCGTTGTTGGGCGTGGATTCAACGATTCGAGATGTCGTGTGTTTTCGTAATCAAGGTGTGCGGTGTGCGGTTCACGAGGCGCCCCCTCTGAAAGATTTCAGCTTCGGTTCTGGGGAGGCTCGCGGAGACAAAATGAATGTTGGTGTCATCGGCACTGTCTGCCGTGATGGTGGAGAACCAACCGGAGCGATGTCAACTCCCCGAGTTGGTAAGGCAGAGACGAGGAGTACTCAAGCCATCCCCCTTGTTCCTGAGGGTGTTCCACCTCCCACTGAACCTTCGAGTCCTTGCTCAGTTTGAACTGGAGCCCTCGGGTCCTGAGCCCCCCCTCCCCCGCTCCGAGCCTGCCGACCCCGCGCCTCAACGTTCCAGGCGAGTCCGATGTTCGCTTTGGAGCCGCTCGGTCAGGGAGGCTCTGTAAGCCGGGGAGTCTCCTGGAGTTCTAACTTCCAAGCCTCGTTTTCAAGGCGTGTCTGGGGATGATCTCGAGCTTCAGGCTCACCATCACTTCTAGTCTCGCACTCCCGGTTTTCTTGTTTTACTGTTCTTTTACCTGAAACAGCTCCAAATCCCTGGCCCGAGGAAAGTGACAGGAGAAGCACAAGTCTTATAAGTGCTGACGATGACCGGTCAAGTGACATCGATTGCATTGAAGATGCCCTTGTGGTCATGGTGATGATGATGCAGAAGAAAAGGAGTCACGTTTGTGGTGGTGATGCACGTGATTAGCATCATGACTGTCATCCTCAGTCTCATCCTCGTGCCGGCGCCTGTGAACCGCGGTAATCCGGCTACTCCAGTACCCCCGTAACCTAGTGGACCTAGTAACCTAGTAGCGATAAACTCAGGATCCCCTGAGCCTAGGCGGGACCCTCTTGGCGGGCCCGGATCGCCACTCTCGAAGCAGGCGGAAAAATCGGAGGATTGGGAAAGGCTTTCGAAGGTCCTGGGGTAAAACCGGGCTGAGGGTTGGGGTTTGAAGGATCTCCCAGCTAGGGTTGAGACACTGTAAGCCGTTGGGGTGGATGCCTCCCAGAATCTGGGCAGTATCAGCTTTTTTCAGAGGCACGACCGCCACAACAACCACAACAGTCTCAACAACCACAACAGCTGCAACACACAACGGCCACAACCAACCCCCCCCCCCCCCCC